GCAATAGCTGAAGTCTTTGTCCACTTCTCTTAGCCACTCAACAGCCGCCTTCTGTTATTCTGTGTGGTGCTACCTCATGAATATGTAATTCAAGGATCAACCAAGGATGCTGGTAGTAACCCCAGTTCCATCCTCAGACTCCTTGAGCCCCCGCAACCAATGCTTGGTAATTGAGCTACAGCTGCCACTACTACCAGGGTAGGAGATTGCCCTCAGCAGGAAAGCTATACAGGGCAAATCTCACCCAAAGCTATTTGTCCCTTTCAAACAAGAGAGTTTACTCCTCTCTCATTTCTGACTCTTTTTTCTTTTTTTTTTTTTTTTTTGAGTTGGAGTCTCATGCTGTCACCCAGACTGGAGTGCAGTGGCACGCTCCAGGCCACCACAGCCTCGACCTGCTGGTCTCTGACGATCCTTTCTCCTCAGCCTTCCAAGTAGCTGGAACTATAGGCACATGCTACATGCCTGGCTAATTTTTTTAATTTATTGTAGCCTGGTATGTGTCCTTTTTCCTCTCCAAGTTGCCCAGGCAGGTCTCGATCCCGCAGGCTCAGGCAATTCACTTACCTTGGCCTCCCAAAGCATGGGATTACAGGCTGAGCCACCGAGCCCGGCTGACTCTTTATTACTCTAACGAGCCTTTAAATTATTATGTTTTATATGTTTTTCGAGGGCTTGTAATTATTATCTGCAGGAGAATTAATTACTCTAATTAGTGCTACTTATCTACTACTGGTAGTAAAACTTTCTTAATAATTGTCAAATGTAACCCTTATCTAACCTATAAAAATATCTGCCATCGTGTTTAATATGGTCTGTTCTATAGATCTTTGCCTCTAGTGTGTTTTCAGAGGAAAAAACATGCAAAATCACACATTTTAAAATAACACAAGTAGCTATTGTATTATGAATTAAAACGTAATACCTTTTAGTGCCAGGCACTATGCTATGCGCTTTACTCATGTTGTCTCATTTAATACCATAAAGTAATTATTAGTATTGCTCTATTGTGCAAATAAGGAAGTTATACAGAACCAATCTTTAGAGAAATAAATTACCAAGATCATGTAGCTAATAAGTTTGGGCTCAGAATTCAGTATTACATCTCCTAGTTCCCTAAGCACGAAAACTTTGTCTCTGAGCTAGAATGGCCAAGGAATATTTTTTAATATAAAAACTTATTTTTAAAGTATGGGAGTATGAATTACATACCGATTGGAAGGAGCTTGTAGAGAAGCAGATGATTAAAATTTATAAAGAGCAGCATGATAACTGGTGGATCAAGTCCCAGAGGTGACAGGAGAGAATGAAACTAATTGCTGAAGAAAAGTCCAGTGCTGAGCAGATGGAACCCTTTCTCCCTTTGACTGAAGGGAAGGACATATGGATTGTTGTGGCTATTAAAAAAAAAGTTTAAGAGAGGAGATAGAGAGAAGTATCTTCTTGAATTTTCTTGATAAAGGAGCCTGTAATGGTAGACTGAGAGTCAGCTGAGTAGTCATTGGGTGAAGGTTTTGGGAATGTGGCAGAGGTTTGAAATATGCCCCGTAGTACATGGCAGAGGAAGCCAAACAAAGTTAGGCAAAGTGATTGATAGCTGGAGCTCAGAGGTTAATTGAGTTTGGAGCCACGTATGTGTTGTTGCATCAATGTGAGGCTTCTTCTGTGCTCTGCTGTCTGTGGTAGGATTTTAAAAGACGTACGTCTGAGATGGGATTTATGAGGCCGGAGTGATGGAAGGACAAAGATACAAATGAATTATGGATGCTTTTATAGTAGTATAGATTTCTTTATAAGTATCTGAGATGAGATGAGTTGTCCTCTGTTGGAATTCTTTCTTCAATTTGATTCTAAAGTTTAAAGTGAAAATTATTTCACAAATGAAACGTGATAATCCATAGTACAGAATTACCATGGGCAAGATGTGGTAAGAAAAGCCTGAGCCAAGTAGAACCCTGAGTGGCTACCATGATTCTGACCCTCAGCTGGCAGCATCGGGGAAATCACTAGCATGACTTCTAGTTAACTGTTTTGTAAGATGTAGGTAGCTCTTAAAATTCTCCACCTTCAAAGGTAAATTATGAAACTTGTATTTTAAAAATAAGTTGAATATTGACTTAGTTTGTGCTTTTTCTTACATTACTGTATGAATTTTTTTTATTTGGCTTAATATAAAATGAATTTAAAATTTTCTTAATAGGTCTAACTTTGTGTGTGCTTTCTAACAGCAGTCTATTATTTGGTGCATTCCAGAAGCATTAAATGTGTTTTAGCCAACATGTCACATTTTCTGCAAGGCACTCATATGAATAAAATACACTTGTAAATATAGTAGATGACAGTATTATTTTTTCCCAAATCTTTCTTTTTTCCCTAATCTACTTGTGAAGTCACCCCCCAAATTTCATACAATAGAACAGAGTGTATATGTCATTATTTTTGAGGAATTATTTTTATTCCTGATCAATTATTTATAGGACCCATCCCAATGCTACATAGCAATTATTTATCAAAGCAGGAAGCATCCCATAGTAAATAAAAAATATCTCTGACCTCTGTTTAGGCAGCAAGCCATTTTCTCCCTCTGACCTTACGACTAACTGTGAGGGGAACAGAGAAATGGATTTTCATAGGATCAGAAGCAGGGGTGCATTCTCTTGACTTACAGATCATGAGAGCGCCTTCTCCTCTGTTATTGATGACTAAAATGTGACTTAAGTAGGTTCTCTTGAGAGTATATTTGTGTTTGACATCTAAAGGAGAAAAAAAAATTCCATCTATGTCTTTAAACAGGTAGAGCTACCCTAACTTTTATGGTGCCTAAGGCCCTTTATGGACCGCCAGTGGAGCATTGCTCTAGTTGGGCAGGTGAGACATGTGGGCCAACCTGGCTCCTGCATCTCAGCCTGGTGTGTGTCCTTTTTCCTTCACAAGTCCCATCATGACAGACATTTCCCTGGAGATAAGTGAGAAGCCTGAAGGAACATGTTAGAATAGTGCAGCTATAAGGCTGCTTGCTTACCCAGAAAGTCCATCAATGTAGGGAAGTTTGTTATTTCTGTGGAACTGTGTTGATTTCATTAATTAATTCATTCAGTCAACAATTTGTTAAGTACCACTGTGTGCCAGCCACCGTTGTTGTGGGTCTTGAGAGCACAGTCCCTGCCCTCATCATTCGTAGTCTAGTGGGGAAAGCAGGTGCTAAACAACGGGTGATAAACACAAGGGGGGAGAGACTGTTCTTTTCTTTTCTTTCTTTTTTTGGGTCAGAGTCTCACTCTGTCACTCAGGCTGGGGTGCAGTGGCACAATCATGGCTCACCACAACCTCAAGCTCCTAGGCTCAGGTGATTTACCTCAGCTTCACAAGTAGTCATACCTAACTACCTATTTATTTGTTTGTTTTATTTTATTTTATTTTATTTTATAGAGAGGAGATCTCACCATGTTGCCTAGGCTGTTCTTGATCTCCTGGGCTCAAGCAATCCTCTCACCTCAGCCTCCCAAAGTGCTAGGATTACAGGCATGAGCCACTGTGTCAGGCCTAAGGACTGCTATCATCAACACGTTAGTGAGGGAAGACCTCGCTGTACTGGTGACAATTGAGCAAAAGCCCGAAGAAAATAAAGGAGCCAGTCTCTTGTGCCACTGGGTGCTTTTGTGCAGATTAGAAAATCCCATCTGGAGAGAGAAGGGTTTTTAAAAGCTCCCTCATTAGATGGATCAATTAGAAAAATGTTTCTTCTCTGGAAAGCCCCAATCCTAGGGGCCTATGGCTTGGTGAGCAGATAGCACCTTCCTGTGAAGGAAAAGGTGTCCCTCTCGGGGCAGATGCAGCACCAGGGTTGAGCTGGGTGAGTAGGGAAGGTCTGGAGTTTTGCCCCCACTCGCTCCTCCCACTGGCCACTCTTGTGCAGTGCACACGTTGCTCACCACAGGAGCACTATGGGAAGGTATATAGTGGAATTCTAGGCAGAGAGAACAGCTAGGTCAAAGACCCTGAGACAAGACCATGTTCAAGAAGCACCAAAAGGCCAGTACAGCTAAGTGAGCAAATGGGATCGAATAGAAGAGAGGGTCAGGTTTGGGGATCACTGACACAGGATAGTCCTAATAAAATAATTCTTTAGCTCTTTATCATTTTCAAAGAGGCTTCATATATGGTTTTATATGATTTCCACAACAACTCATCCTAAAAAGTGCAAAGAAGTTACATTGTTTAGGTAAGTAATACAATTTAAAAATATAAGGGTTTAGGATTTACCTGAAAAGTACTGCTTTCAGTGTTTTTCTTAATACTGTGCCTCGAAGATTAGTTAGTAATTTTAAAGTATAAGCCCTTTTTAATGTCTTTTTGAGCTCTATTTTTAGAAAAACAGACCTTTCTGAACTCTGTGCTATGATTTGAAGCATCCAATTATTGTTCTTTTTCTAGAGCTAACTTGGATAGATTGAAAATTCTCTATTGTTGTAACTTAGATTATTTTGGGGTGGTGGGTGGTCAGAGTCTCACTCTGTTGCCCAGGCTGGAGTGCAATGGCATGCTCACGGCCACCACAGGCTCGACCTGCTGGGCTCAGACAATCCTTCCACCTCAGCCTTCCAAGTAGCTGGAACTACAGGCACACGCTACCACGCCCAGCTAATTTTTTGATTTATTGTAGAGATGAGGTCTTGCCAAGTTGTCCAGGCTGGTCTCAAATCCCTGGGCTCAGGCAATCCCCTCACCTCAGCCTCCCAAAGTGCTGGGATTATAGACTTGAGCCACCACGCCTGGCATAATTTAGATTTTTAAAAATCAAACCATTTACATTTATTTTTTCATCTTAATGGGTCTTTAAAATATTATCTCTTCTCACAACACTTTCTGAAAATGTAGCATTTTTGCTAACCCAAACCATGTCATTGTTAGAAAGTTAATAAAAATCTCACAAAGTGCACTTTGTCTGTAAAAAGCAAATTCTGTATATTAATCAGGGTTTGCCTGTGAATTTCTTTCAGCTGGAGATGGAAAAGCTTCAGCTCCAAGCCCTTGAGCAAGAGCACAAGAAGCTGGCCGCCCGCCTGGAGGAGGAACGTGGCAAGAACAAGCAGGTGGTCCTGATGCTGGTGAAGGAGTGCAAACAGCTCTCGGGCAAGGTCATCGAGGAGGCTCAGAAGCTGGAGGAGGTCATGGGCAAGCTGGATGAGGAGAAGAAAAAGACAAATGAATTAGAAGAGGAGCTCTCTGCTGAGAAACGGAGAAGCACAGAGATGGAGGCGCAGATGGAAAAACAGTTCTCTGAATTTGATACCGAGCGGGAGCAGCTTCGTGCCAAGCTGAACCGAGAAGAAGCCCACACCACTGACCTCAAAGAGGAGATCGACAAGATGAAGAAGATGATCGAGCAACTGAAAAGGGGAAATGACAGCAAGCCGAGCCTCTCTCTCCCACGGAAGACAAAAGATAGGCGCTCGGTTTCCATCTCTGTGGCCACCGAAGGACCTATGACCAGATCGGTTGCTTGCCAGACAGACCTAGTGACAGAAGGCACTGAACACGTGAAGAAGTTGCCTTTGACTGTACCTGTAAAACCTTCCACAGGGAGCCCCCTAGGTTCCACAAATGCAAAAGGGAGTGTGTGCGCCAATGCTACACTGGCCAGACCGGGTATTGACAGGCAGGCTTCCCACGGTGACTTGACCATCTCCTCTGTCCCCACTGCCCCACCTCCAAGTGCAAACAGAATTGAAGAAAATGGACCGAGCACTGGCTCAACGTCAGATCTAAGCAGTAGCACACCCCCACTGCCCAACAGTGTTGCCCCTCCCAGTGCTCAAACACCAGGCATGGCTCCCCAGAACTCCTCGCAAGCTCCACCTATGCACAGTTTCCATTCACCATGTGCCAACGCGTCTTTGCATCCAGGTCTAAACCCACGAATCCAAGCAGCTAGATTCAGATTTCAGGGCAATGCCAATGACCCAGACCAAAATGGAAATACTACCCAAAGTCCCCCGTCAAGAGATGTCTCTCCCACAAGTCGTGACAACCTAGTGGCCAAACAGCTAGCTCGGAATACTGTGACCCAGGCACTGTCAAGATTTACAAGCCCTCAAGCAAGTGCTCCCCCAAGGCCTGGAGTGCCCCCCACAGGGGATGCTGGCACCTGCCCTCCAGTCGGTCGGACCGGTTTAAAGACTCCTGGTGCAGCACGAGTTGACAGAGGAAATCCTCCTCCTATCCCTCCAAAAAAGCCAGGGCTCTCCCAAACTCCTTCTCCACCACACCCCCAACTCAAGGTTATTATGGATAGCAGCAGGGCCTCAAGTGCAGGGGCCAAAGTTGATAACAAAACTGTGGCTTCACCTTCGTCCAGTTTGCCACAAGGGAACAGGGTAATAAACGAGGAGAACCCCCCTAAATCATCCTCCCCTCAGCTGCCACCAAAACCATCCATAGATTTAACTGTGGCACCTGCGGGCTGTGCCGTTTCAGCCCTGGCCACGTCTCAGGTGGGTGCCTGGCCTGCTGAAACCCCTGGACTGAACCAACCTGCATGTTCAGACAGTTCCCTTGTCAGCCTTACCACCATTGCCTTTTGCTCTTCCATAAACCCCGTTAGTGCCTCATCCTGTAGACCAGGTGCCTCAGACAGCCTCCTGGTAACAGCATCAGGTAAAGGGATTGAAATATTATACCCTTTTCTTTTTTTTTAAAAGAATGCAGCCTGTCCTCTCACTTGCCTCCATTTTCTTCACATTGCCTTGAAAGTTTTTTATTTGATTCTCCCCCACCATTTCTTTCCTCTCTTTTTTGGATTTTTTTTTTTAAGGCTCCAGGGTATGGCAATTCATCTTGCTGTATGAATTGCGGTTTTGTTATGCTAAGTGCTTTCTTCTTTTAAAAGAACCTGAAAATAGTGGCTTGAAGCACATGGAGACCATTAATTTAGAGAGACTAAAACGTTTATGTGGGAGGAAAGCGTATTCCTTCTTATTAAATATTTATCTCACAAGACCTCACTCTTAATGGGTCATCATCAGGCAGTATGCATTCAGTTCTGTCCCTTCTGAGCTGACATTTAAAAAGGACTTGCAAGTGATTATTAACACTACCCTGTATTATCAAATGGACTAGATTTGTTCTGTAATTGGAATATTCTAAGTTTTGATATCTGTTTGATGGTTAAGGTTGTTTTTTTTTAACCCTCAAAACTGAAGTTTTTTAAATAAACATTTATAAATCCCTGTTCTAAGGGAATATTTATAAATCCCTGTTCTAAGTTCAGCTGATTTCAAAAGTCATTTACCCTGTTTAGAGGTGTCGTCTTCCATCATAGAGTGCAGATGGATAACATAGCATGTGGGCTGTATTAGAGAGGGATTTCGTGGCTGATGTGTTTTATGAAGTCACTGAATCTAGGACTCTTGAACAAAGAATGGAATGTTTCCCTTTTGTTATCCAACGCTAAGGGAAGCATTGCTTTTTACTGACATGACTGGATTAGTTCTTCGCTGAGCAAATGTGACTTTAAAATAATGTTATAGTGTCAGAGTTCTGTCAAAGCTTTGGAGAAGTCTCACCTACCATGAGATCTTAGTGGCTAGTGGAGGATGTGGATTCTAATGGGAGGAAACTTCACTCCATCACCCAGGCTGGAGTGCAGTGGCACGTTCACGGCCACCCCAGCGTTGACCTGCTGGGCTCCGACGATGCTTCTGCCTCAGCCTTCCAAGTAGTGGGAACTACAGTACGCGCTACCACGCCCAGCTAATGTTTTTTTTTTTAATTGTAGAGGCAAGGTATCGACAAGTTGCCCAGGCTGGTCATGAACCCATAGGCTCAGGCAGTCTACTCACCTTGGCCTCCCAAAGTGCTGGGATTACAGGTTGAGCCACCGAACCTGGTCAGGAGGGAATTTTTAAAGTTAAAGGAAGTTTTGAATACTGTGATATCTAACACTTAGAGGGGAGAATGAGAATGAGATAAACAGGCAGCACTATACTTGCTAATTATCAGGTAATGAGGGCAGGACACCAGGGCTTACTTGTTCGGTTTTCAGCTGTCCTCTTGAAATTAAGCTCTTTGAGAGGTAATTTCCATATTTTTCAGGGCAGAATTGAGAATTGGAAGCAGTATCAACTTTGAAGTCAGTCAGATCTGTGTTGGGATCTAGTCTCTGCCCTTCACAGCTGGGTGTTTTTGTTGACCTTTCTTGAACTGAGCAAGTTTTCTCTTCTTTAGTGTGCAGTTTATGCTATTCCCATGTGGAGAGTGGCTGTTAGGAGGATCAGAGTGTGTGGTATTGAGTTTTAGAACAGCATGCGTGGTCAATAAATTGAGGTAATATTACTGTTTCAGGGATATTGGTGCTTAAGACATTTTTGAGAATTTGCTTTAGAATTGACTTTGTAGTATTATTTTGTGATGTCTTTATAGGCATTCGGCATTATATATATAATATATATATATATATATATATATTTTTTTTTTTTTTTTTTTAATCCAAAATGGTATTACTGGACAGCCCTTCTCATGGCCTAAAATAACTTTGGCTGTTTCTCACAAATTAAATCCACCTTCAGAAGAGGAGTTTTGCTACCATTCAGGGGAATCAGTGAATGTACTGTAAGATCTTTGGGCAGTAACAAAACACAAATTCCAAAAGTGTTTGGAGCAATGGCAGGGCTATTAACATAAATGCATAGACTATAAAAAATGCAACACTCTTTAGGATATAGAAATTTTGTCCTTTAAAAAAAAATAAAACCATCTCTACTTTGATATCTTCAGGTTTTGCCAGTTGTTGCCTTGGTCATTACTGCAGTCCAAGGTTCAGCTGTAAGTGCCCTTTGGTTTCAGCAGAAGGGCTTTAAAATCAGGATCTATGACTGAGGAGCATTTTGTCAGCAGGATTTTAAGTTAACTTTTTTTCTTTTTTTTTTTTAATTTAAAAATGTAGAGTACAATTAGGTACATAAGTGGTCATCATACAGGTAAAATGTGATACTCTTATTGATGTTATGTGTTCTCCTACTCCCTCCCCTGGCAGTGTCCTACTGCCAATCCCTTTCTTACAGTATTATGATAAATGTCAGGGTCCACTTATAAATGAGCACAAACTCAGATCTTTGTTTCCTTGATAAATCACTGAGTATTATAGACCCTAATTCCATCCAAGTTCAAGTTAACATTTAAAAATGAATTTTTTATCTATCCTATATTCACCAGAATGACCTGCCTTAGGATACAGTGGAATTCTGGATAAAGGAGCCATACTCTGCTGAAAAATGCCCTTTGCTTGTGTCCAGAGAACAAAAGTCAATATAAACCAAAGAAATAACCCCTACTGAAGATACATGAAACTGGTTTTTATTTTTCTGTTGTCTGATTTTTGTAATTTGACCAAGGTATTTTATGTCTTTATTCCCCTCAGAACTGCAGAATTATCTTTGGTAGGATAGCAGGTTTCTGTGTCATTCGTTTGTAAGATGCAGCTTTGTTGAGAAGAATGGAGGTACTTGAAGACCTTTAGTCAATCAGCAAGTGTTTACTGAGCACCTAGACTTTCCAGGAATGGAAATGTTGTTACATTTATGTTATGGTGGCGTGAAACTGTAGAACTCAGCTATGGATGTAGGGCAACCTGAACTCTTACCAAATGAGATACAGGATTTCAACTCTGTTTTTTCCATTTAGATTACCCCTATTTTTGCCATCATGCCCATTGCAACTAGAAAGTACCTGTGCTCCATCCATCCTACTTACTAACTCGTCTGTACCTGGGTGAGCTTGTGTCTTTCCAGGTCATGAGCCCATTGAAGGATATTAACCTTCTAAACAGCCACAGATGCCTCTGTGGTTGCCAAGGGCAGGGCATAGAGACAGCACATCTGCCAAACACCTGACAGGCATCTGTTCCGATTTCAGGGATCAAACGAGCACTGAACTGAGTGTAAGAAGGCATAGTTAGTCCATTTCTGTCCCTTTCCAGGTATCACCTTGGGGAGCAAATTCTCTCTACCCATGAGCTGTTCCATTTAAAAATGAAAGCACTGAATCAAATAATAATAACAAGAGTGATACTATGTCCAAACAAAAAAGATTTCTTAAGCTTGCCTAATGAATTTTCAAACATACTACCTCTCCTTCCTTGGAGAATTTACTAGATCCTATGGTCCTTTCAAACTCTAAAATACTGTGGTTCCATGTTAGCTTCTATCTACAACAAACAATTATGACTAGTTATAATTAAAGTTAAAGCACCAAAGAGAACTAGAATGACAGAAGTTACCATTTTGATGAATTGTGTTGTAAATTACCCTAACTTCAATGACCAAATGTTAAATTTTTAAATAATGTTTTAAATTCTAAATGAATGAGAATTTCTTGTTCCTCCTGAACTTGTCAAATGAACACATTTCAAATGTTAGATGAACAGAAGCCTAAACCAGAAGTCCACTCCTGGCAACTGAGTTTCCATACCCTTGGAAATTTTTTCTGTTTTCTTTTTTTTATAATTTGATACATTTTATTTAATTTGGTTCCTACTTTTTTCCGTAGTTAAACATATCTTTTAAAAAATTATTCTCCATGTATGATTGGCTTCAAGGCTAAATCAGAAAACAAGAATGATCTGGGCTTTGACATTAACCTTCTCCACCCTCTGAAGCTGATGCCGGAAGCTGTCCTCAACTCCTCTTCCCTCTGCCCTCGCATGCCCAGGCTGTTCCCTTCTTCATGGCGTGTGTGCGAGATGCTCACCTTACTAACGTCTGTATATGACACTGTGAAGCTGAATGACCTTTTGCTAATATCATTAGAGTAGCTGTATGAGTACAGGTCTGTTCTGTCATTACTTATCCATTACTTAACCAGTTAACTCAGTTTCACCATGTTTATCATTGCCAGGACTTTTGGTGAACAATATAATCTTGTGGTGAAATTTTATGTTTTCCATATGGATGGCAGGGTTTATTAAAATAACTTACATTTGTCGGTGCTAGAGAAAGTTGGAAAGGATAGTGAATATGTAAAATTTATTTAAAGTTTAAGAATACTTGGTATTTATAAAGACTTTAAAAATATATTGCAATCTTCTAAGAAAATAAGGAAACTGATATATCTTCTATAGTGCTGAATAACAGAAGGAAAACTATAAGACTTGAATGTTCTGAAGATTGAGAAAAAATTTGATTAAAATATTTTATCTTTCAGATAATTTAATGATAAAAATAGTCATAATTGAATATTTCTATACAAAGCAATTGAAAAATACATTTATATTTAAATTGCCCCTCACCCTAAACCTAGAATTGTGGTGAAAAATGAAAACAAAACCCAAAAGAATAACAAATCATTTAATAATATAAATGTTTTGGTATTCATAAAAGAATATCAATAACAAAGACCCCTTGGATGATGGGAGGGATGGGAGGGGGAGGGATGGAGAGAAGGAGAGAGAGAGAGAGAGAGAAAAACTGACTGAGAGTGTGAGCCACATTCTCTCCTGTTCCACAATCAGAAACTCTAGTGCGATGCCTTTCTGTTGCCTGTGTTTGCTTTGCAGTCAAGGTTTCATACCTTGGTGTTTATAATTTCTGTTTATCATTCCTTTCTAATAAGTACTGATTTAATTTTTGTGGGCCTGTTTTTTTTGTTGTTTGTTTGTTTTTAAGAAAATACAAAAGGTAAAATGTACCAGAGAGGAGCCTTCTTGTAAGTATGAAGTAAAAATACTTCTTTTATAAGAAGATCTAATGGATATCAATAGGAAAAATTATAAAGTTTAGATAAATATTGAATTTTATGAATGTTTTAATTTTGTATGTCACTGCAGTTCTAGTAGGGTAAAAACAAATTATTCATAAACCCATATAATTTATTATGAAGTTATAATAGCCAGCTTTTAATAAACAGTATAGTTTCATTTGCATAATTGTTTTTAATAACGAATTTTGAAAATACTAAGACGTTCCTTTGATATGTATCCATTTAATATTTATTAAACAAGGTTGAGAATTGAGGATTTAATCATGGGAATTGAGTATCACATATATATTAATATAGCATCCACATATGTAGAATATTATTGATGATACTCTTGTGCAGAGAATATAAAGCATCCATGTTTGTATCTTATTAAAGGAATGTTACCATATATATGTTGAGTGTGTGCCCTGAGAAATGAATATGTATACATATGCACAGCATCATTAGAGGTATTAGGACCCTATGAGGAGAAAAAAGGAAAAAATTATTTATTTTGAAAGTTCACTGTATTTAAGCCTAAAATACAGAAATACCTATGTATCACATTAAATAAACATTTTTGCTTTACTGTTTTTACAGCCTTTTGATCAAGGAAGAATTCAGAAAATTTTCCATGCTATTTGCAGCCGACTTCACACACTTAACAGATTCTCTTCTAAAGCTGCTAAATACTGAGAGAAATATCTAACTATGATAACTCATGATTTTTGTTAAAACCATATAGTAGAGTGTCCTGTTTTGTTGGCTGATTAAAAGTTCGTTAGGCATTTTGTAAAGACGGCCAGATGATACAGTCTTCAAAATTGTATGTTGAATATTTATGCCAAGTGTATTATAGTTCCAGTATTACATGTTATAATTCTATTAGTTCTTACTGCTGAATAGTAGTTAGTCCCACTATTTTTTTTTCCCAAATAAGGGAATTTGAGAAATATAAATAGATTTCTTGACGGCGTTTGGTTCATCTAAGTGGTTTATGTAAACTTTATGGTTAAATACTTTGGTAACATTGTTGAAAAAAATATTTCTTACCATTATTTCTATCTTATACCTAAAAATATCAATTCATATCTTCATATTAGTATTGAAATCAAGGAAACATTTATGTGATTTTAAAATTAAAATTGTTTTGAAATCCTGAAGAGTATTTGAAATTTTAAAATGAGACAGCCATCCTAATTTCCTAAAACCAGTCACTACTTTAACACTTACGTGTGCAAGACTGACTACTAAAAATAATTTGTAACTGTGTATGTTAATTTAATTAGCAGCAGATAAAAGGCCTGAAATAACAGTACGGATTCATGCTAAGTAAATATTAACAGGTTGATAATGTTAGAAACCACATAATCCTCATGGGATACATATTCACATGTTTGTGTGTGTAATTCAGAAAGGAACGGGTAATATCTGTCTCTTCTTCTTGCTCCTACTCTCTAACGAGGGTCATTTAACCTACAGGCTGGTCACCCTCCCTAACCCCTTTGCTAATGAGTGGTGGTCCTGCCCCCCTGGCTGGCAGGCCCACCCTTCTTCAGCAAGCTGCTGCCCAGGGAAATGTCACTTTATTATCAATGCTGCTTAATGAAGAAGGACTGGACATTAATTACTCCTGTGAAGATGGCCATTCTGCCTTGTATTCTGCTGCTAAGAATGGACATACAGGTAAAATGGCGAGAACTTATCTCACCATACCACATATTTGAAAAGTCAAAAGCACTTGTAACCATTGTTACAAGCAAGTGGTTCATTTCAGTTTCAGTGTTCTCTTACAGGTAGTAGTGGATAATGCTTTATACAAGAGATTTAAAGTTTTTAGAAACATTGAAAAATCCAAATTGTGTGGTTTCTTAATAAAAAATTTTACTGAAACTAGTAAAACATAATCTTTGTTTCATGTACAATAAAATATATTGGACATGTAGAAATTCGGGGTCTAATAATTCCAAAGCACATCTTGGAATCAAGCCCCTCATCTGTGATCACTTTGGTCAGGGCAAAATAGCCCTTGCTTATCTGTTAGAAATGCCTGATATGTGAGAAAAATAAAAATATCAGGGCTTTAGTACCACATGCTGCAGTGAGAGAAAGTTTTAGTAGTTAGGAAAGGTCATGGATCTGAAATTATTCCATAGTTGAAACAGTTTATAGCTATTTGAAGTTTTTAGGAGAACTAAGAAGTTATAGAACTATAAATGGCATATTGATGAAGACTGGAAATTATTTTTGTTCTTTAAAATGCAAATCATGTAGTCAGATATACCAAAACATATGGTAGTGCAGAACAAGAGATGATTTGACCGCAAATGCAAAGTCAAATAGCATTGCATATGTGAGCCATATGATTGTTGATTAATTCAGATCAATGGGAGAGTCTAATGAACAAAGATAGCTCATTAATTTAAAAGTAATCTAGAATTCTTCTTTACTTCATAAGAACTGTGGGGATGTTCTTTAATATGGAGAAATTAAGTCTAGTAAATAGCATGACATTTAGATGATGTTTATACCTGAGTTAGATGACTTTCTGCAGGCTCTTTATCCTCCTTCATGAATTAAGTGCAGGATGGTCACCATACAAAAGCATTTTAAAGATTAAATTAAACATCGTAGTGTAAGAATTTATTTAAATATGAAGAATGGTATTTCGATTTGGTAAATGAATTTGGTTCTTCATCCAAGAACATTATTTTCTGGAATAAGCTGGTAGAAAAATCTGGTAAGGCATTTTCTGGTACATGACATCCCTTTTACTCATCAGCAGCTCTTCTCAAAGTATTAGGAAAAAAATCATGTCTTAGTTGGTAAGTCCTAAGGTATTATAATCTTTGGGAAAAGAAGCTGCTTTCCCTGTAAAATAGTCTGCAGAGCCTCATATTTGCCATGATAGAATTGTCAGATGACTGTGCAGGAGAGAGGCCCTGTGGGTTTATAATCTATCTAGAGATTGTATAGAATTTGGCTCATCATAACTGCAAATGGGGAATTTACATGGCTTTCTATTAAAATCCATAGACTGTGTGAGATTGCTGCTGAATGCAGAAGCCCAAGTCAATGCTGCTGATAAAAATGGCTTCACACCCTTGTGTGCTGCAGCTGCTCAGGGACATTTCGAGTAAGTGATGCTCTTAATTCTTTTTTCCCCCCATATGAAAAGAACCTCTTTTTATAATTTGCACACATATTTTAGTTCTGGCTGAATGTGTAAACTAGTGCTTAAAATTCATTGGCAAATAAATTCACTAAACATTTGAGGATTCAAATGCAAAGTAGGATCCTGAAATTGCTCTTCCTAATAATAGTTAACAAGTTAAGAAGGGAAATATGCTGTGTCCCAACTGTATATGAACTTGCTTCTGAAGAAGATAACCTATAGGATATCAACACATATAGTAAAAGATAAGGAACTGTTAAGATGTTTGTTGGTCACTATTTTTCATCACTCTAATCTCCCCAAATTTTTTTGACTTAAGATGGCATTAAAAGTAAAACATAGAATTATATTATTTGTAATAATTGTAACCCTAGTGGCCGTTTATTCAGTATTAAATCCTAGTCACCCACTTTGTCTTATCATTTTAAAAAATTGACGCAACAATTTAAAACCAAAAGTCATTTGAACATAAAATCTGAGAAAGCCTATTAATTAAAATATGTACAACTTTAGCAATGATTTCTTAAAGAGCTTAATAAGACGGTTAAATATAGACATGACTGCTTAAAATTATGTTATATTTTAACATAAAATAAAAACTAGCTAAGTTACTTTATCTGCCTGTGCTGAAATCATGCCAGGTTGTGAGGAACACAAGCTGCTTTCAATATTTTAATCCAACTGGCCTGATGAAAATGTTCTTTAACAAATTACAGACTTCTTGAAATGTGAGTTTTAAGGTTCACATCGATGGTATTAATTATAAATATGAAATTTTTTAAATTTAAAAATACATGCTTAATATGTAGCATTTATTTGTTTTTCGGCTTCTCTTACACATATCTTATCACCCTGAGTTTGTTTTTGAGAGCTAGAGACACTGGTTTTTGCTGTTACTTTTTGGTTGTGTCCTGAAGTATGTCCCTTTCTGGGCTGTGCTTTTTACCTTTACCTGTCATTGGGCAATCTGTAGAGCCACTTGCTTGGAGAGGATAGAGTCATAGGAATGGAGGCATGGATAGCTTTGCAAGAGGAAAGAGCCCTGGGGAAATTAACTTACATGTGTCTGATACATATTTCAACATGTCACTTAATTTTGAAGTATATAATCCAAATACTGCCAGGGAAAACTTATGAAAAAAAAAATGCATCAGAGTAAAAAAAAAAAAAAAAAAAAAAAAAGAAGTTAATTACTTCTATTTGATTATGATTTAGCCTTCAACTAATTTTACAAACTTAAGCACTGGGAATTTAGCTAGTTATTCGGTGTTTCAATGTCTTGACTTCACCTCATTTCTTTCCTCCTTGATTCTCAGGACAGTGAGCTTCTGTTGAACTGTCTTTTTCCTCATCAACCAGTCCCCTTCAATAGGACAACCTCTGCTGTCTTTTCTCCCCCAAGGCAACCCTTTTCTCAGTCTTTCTGTTGCCTTTTATGGCGGAGGCACATGGTGCCCTGCTGTCTATGCTATTTATAATTATTTTCTCAAGTGAAAAATCTCAGAATGACTCATCAGCCTGACTTTTTTCAGGGTTCAAACTATTCTAAACCAAAATCTTATACACACACACGTCAAACCATTTGTCCCAGTAAGTTAAGGACTCTACTTTTACAAGTTGGTTACAGGGAAGTGTCATAACCAGGTATTTGCACATGATCAAACCCACTATTTTAAATTTTCACGGTAGTAATTAAATTTTATGATTTATTAAAATATGTTTTCCAGCCTTGTGGAAAAATAATTCCCATATAATAAGATCCATAATATGCACAACTATAATCCTAGCTACTCAGAAGACTAAGGCAGGAGGATTGCTTGAGTCCACGAGTTTGAGGCTGCCAGTGAGCTGTGATCATGCCACTGCACTCCAGCCTGGACAGCACAGAAAGTCCCTGTCTCTTTTTTAAAAATCAATAATAGCTAATATATAGAAATGAAAATAATTGATGTATATAATGATGCATAATTACTTTAGCATTATTTTCTGTATTTAATATCTTGGTTAGGTGGTGCTTCAGAGGTCAAGCCCAGTTTCTATGTAATTAATCATAATCTTGTGTTTAGGTGTGTAGAATTATTAATTGCATATGATGCTAACATTAATCATGCTGCTGATGAAGGACAGACACCTCTATACCTGGCCTGTAAAAATGGAAATAAAGAATGTATTAAACTATTGTTGGAAGCTGGAACTGACCGAAGTGTAAAAACCAGAGTGAGTAAGAGTTATCTGATTTCTTTCATGTATATGCAGTTTACAATGTGTCTACAAACTCTAGAGCTAAAAAAACAAAATATATTACAATGGAAGTTGCTTTATTTTATTTTGCTTTTAGGATTTAGAAAGTGTCTGACCCCGTTTGTGTCTCTTTCCTGTTGATTAAAGTCCTTGTCCATTGGTATAACTAGTCCTTTACCTCTGAGTATCAGATTATTCATCTGTAAAATAGGAAGACAGGGCAGACAATGAAGGCATACGTTTTTATTCATTCAACGAATAATAATCTTAGATCTTGAGTTTTCTTAAGTAATATCTCCAAAGAAAACCAGCAGTTAATGATATCAGCAGGAATATAATAAGCTAGGTGTAAACATTTTCCATTGACTCTTAAGAACTTTTAAAAAAATTATTTTTTGAAAATCTGGGGAAATGGTTTAGTTTTACATTTCTTTGTATTATTTTTATATATTTTGTGCAAGAAATCTCTTGTTACACACATTCACTATAAAATTCTACCTTATAAATGAAAAATAGGTGAATTTTACGTCACTGAGCTGAATGAAAAATAAGTAGCACAACATAAAAATTGAAGTCACATCCTGTCTAAGTTGGAGAACACAGAAATTCATGCCTCAAGCCAGTTATTGATGAGCTGAACAAAATCATTAGAAGTACAGATGCACAAAGGTCTAGAGATAAACAGTATAATTGATAGAGGATCTTGAGGGAATAATTAATTTTGTCTTGTGCCTTTTAATAAGAAAACAACAAAGGTGAATGGAAGACTGGAAGTTTTTGGGGGGAGGCACTGCCTTTTGACCTTGGAGAAGGTCAACCAGCGAAGAGCACTCAGTGAAATGGTCCTGCCTGATGGGAGCCCGGGAATATACCCAGTATTCCAGTTACTGCTCAGTCATGGTTTGTTCTTAGCCAAATGGACTTTACTTGTATGAGGTGCTGAACCAGAGAAAAAGCCACATCATAAAGGGACAACTTTAGCAAGTGATCAGATGACGTAGTCTAAATTTAGACTGTTCCCATTTATTGTCTACTTTTCTACCCCATTTTTTTGAAGTGTTCTCTGGCTCGCTGATATATTTATTATAGCCATATGAAATACTACATGAAAACATTATGTCAAAAGGAAACTAAAAGCAGAAAAACAGAAAATAAAGCCAAAATACAAATCACCAAAATAAGGCTTAGTTCTTTTATTTAAAAAAGAAATTTAAAAACTAATAAAGATGAGTGCCTGAGTAGAAGGCAGACCTATCTCTACATAAAAGTTAGAGACTATGATAAAAACCACAAATTTCCTAGAATGTTTTTTCTAGAAAGTTAGTGCATCAGAATCACTTGGAGGAGTTGTTAAAACAGATTGATAAACCCTGCCCCCAGAGATTATGATTCAGTAGATCTGAGGTGAGACTTGAGGTATTTCTAACAAGTTCTCAGGTAATACTGTTGCTGCTGGTGTGCTGGACCACACCTGAGAACCACTGCCTTATAAGAAAGTTCTACATCTGAACTGAGTCTCCAAAGTAATATATTCTAGACAATGAACCGAACAATTTTCATTGGAACATTTTCTAAGCTTTTAATGATCAATATCCCTCAGCAATCACAGAGCACCCAATAGAGGCCCATAGAAATCCAATAAAAGTATTTGGCTTTGTTTTTCCTGCATGTCTACCATTTCACTATTATTTAGGAGCTTTCCTTCTAGAATATTTGGCAAAAAATTTTTAGGTCACTAGAGTTAGAATACTGCCTTATAAGTAAAACTGACTTATAATAGCATTATATTAGTACTTTACTAATAACATTATTCTTGCATGTAATTTTTTTTTTTTTTTGAGTTGGAGTCTCACTCTGTCGCCCAGACTGGAGTGCAGTGGCCGCTCCTGGCCACCACAGCCTCGACCTGCTGGGTTCTGGCGATCCTTCCGCCTCAGCCTTCCGAGTAGCCGGAATTACAGGCATGCACTGCCACGCCCGGCTGATTTTTTGATTTATTGTAGAGATGAGGTCTCGCTGCCCAGGCGGGTCTCGAACCCGCGGGCTCAGGCAATCCACTCACCTCAGCCTCCCAAAGGCGTGGGATTACAGGCTGAGCCACCGAGCCCGGCTTCTTGCATGTAATTTTTAAAAAGATCTCTCTAGGCTGAGGTTCCTTCTAGGCTAAAAGATCTCTCTAGGCAAAAGTTCCTTCTCTTTCATAGTATTAAACTGAGAATTGGGTTTACCATACCATACCTAATACTCAGCTATGAGCCTGTGCAGTCCCTGCTTACACCAAATGGTAAACTGGTAGGGAGATAGTTTACAATTACAAAATTGTATAAATGGGTCATAACAATGGGAAATATTTTAACTGACAGAGATTAGAAAACTTTAATCAATTTATCAGTGATGATCAGGATTGGAATGCCTGCATTTCCCAACTCAGTGGTCTGTGCCCAAGAACATTTAGAGGTGAACCTTTTGTTCTTGTTGTTTGGGTTTGGGTTTTTTTGTTTTGTTTTGTTTTGTTTTTGAGCTGGGATCTCACTCTGTCACCCAGGCTGAAGTGCAGCAGCATGATCCCAGCTCACAACTTCAACTTCCTGAGTTCAGGCAATCCTTCCACCTCAACCTCCCAAGAAGGTGGAATTGCAGGCGTGTGCCACTACACCCAGTTAATTCTTGCACTTTTTTTCACTATGTTGCCTAGACTGGTTTTGAACTCCTAGGCTCAAGTGGTCCTCTACCTCGACTTCCCAAAGTGCTGGGATTATGGCGTGAGCCACCGCGCCAAGCCAGTGAACTTTCAGTAGCACTGATCTCAACACTGATGTTGTTATCAATCCTTTCCCCCTGCTCATTTGATTTTCAGGATGGCTGGACACCAATTCACGCAGCTGTGGACACTGGTAATGTGGACAGCCTCAAGCTTCTCATGTACCATAGAGCACCAGCTTGTACAAACTCTTTGAATGAGGAAGAACCTGAGTCCGACATCTATGATTTGGATAGAGGAGAAGAGAGTCCTGAAAGCACATCCACACCTGTTCTTCCCGCAGACCTCATTAACTATGCCAACAGAGAAGGCTGGACTGCTGCCCACATTGCTGCTTCCAAAGGTTTTAAGGTGTGTCTGGGAGCAGCTGGACTCATCATGAAGTTGTAATTTGATCACAAAACACTCAATAGAGGCCCATAGACAGCAAACAAAATTATTTGGCTTTGTTTTTCCTGCATGTATACCTATTATCTAGGATTGTTCCTCTTAGTATTGTTAGCATAAAGTTTTAAGACCACTGAAGTTAGGATACTCCCTCATAAGTAAAACTGGCTTATGATAGCATTATCATATTTTACTAATATCATTATTCTTGCTTCTACTTTTTTTAAAAAAAAAATCTTTTTAGGCTAAAGTTCCTTCTTGTTGTGTGGTATTAATTGAATGTACTTAAGCAGAATAATTGGAGACTGACAGGTGCCATTGCAGGAGTTGTTAGCTACCCACAAATTGACATTTTTCCTATCCAACAGATATTTATGATCAAGGGTATAAAAGACTTATTACAAAAATAATTGTATTTTAGAGTTTGTTAATAAGATATATGGCAATGATTTCAAACATTTTATCTTATCTACAATAGGAGAAAAAAGTTGAAATTGACTTAATCCATAGGGTTGCCCACTTCAGCTCCAAGGCTATGTTACTAGCTAAGGAGACCAGGATTCACACTCGTGCTGCAAAGGTCATGTCCTTGCTACCAAGCTTGTGCTCTTCAGCTGCCAAGCATGTATTCTACCCTGTGCTGTCTTACTGTTCCCTAAGAGGGAGCTCTAGATTTCACTCATCAGAGTACAAAAGGATTCTGATTATTAAAGAAACAGTGTGGGATACCAGGCCACTCACTCATACTTTTTCTATTTAAGTCACTTTAGCAGTAAGAAGCTATTAGGAAACTCCTAAGTTCAGAGCACTGTGCATGCTAACCTTTGCAGGGATCATTTGTGCCATCAGGTAGCTCCTAGTTCAGTGGCAAGTGTGCAGGCTACAAGACCATTGTGGGTAAAATGAACATGGGGGCAGTAGACATGCGGTTGGAACAGTATAAAAATGTAGTGATTGTGGAAAAAAGAGAGAACCTATATATTTCAAAGGGATGTTAGGCTCCAGAATGACTTATTCTGGAGAAGATAGAAATTACTTTGAGCTTGGCAGGGAGAGTTACATTTTCTACTCACCACTGAGAAAGAGTAGTCCAGGTGGTGGAACTGTCGGAACAATCTCATGGAATAGGGAGGTGAATAACAGCTCCAGTTGAGCTGATGGAGAGTCATGAGAAATAAGACCGGTCCGGGAGTTTCATAGCAGGGCATGGGCACTTCAATGAAGAGTTTGGTCTTAATTTACTAGTCAAAGTAAAGGCACTGAAAGCTTTTCTACAAAGGAACAAAATAATCAGCTCAACAGTTTATGCAGATTGATTGAGCAATAACAGTTAAAAGGTTTGACATTATGGCAATTAGTGGTGGGGAGACACACTACTTGGAAGGTGATGAGAGCATTGGAAATAGTGAGAGATAATTAGAAATGTCCAAGGATCGAACATGGGCTTGGTATAGAAATGAGGGAACTGAATAGAAAGGTAATACTGACATTCCCAGAAAGAGTAGGAAAAGCGTCATTGTGACCAAGAAGACAGCATGTGGTTTCAGATATGCTGAATTTAAGTGCCATGAATTGTTCATCCAGATGGAGATAGCTAGAGATTGGTATTTAGAGCTCTTGGTTGGGTAACTTCTTGCTATTCTGATCTATAGCAGAAGCTGTTCATTTTGGACTTTAGTTTTTTAAAAGTGAGAACAGGGCATGATTCAATTTAATCTGCAGGTATAGTAGTAGGTCCCCCCCCCCCACTTTATCCTTTAACAAAAATTCAAAAGTTCTGGGAACTTGATATATATGTATTGTATTTGAGTGGAACGCAATAGCATTTGATGTAAAAGGTTTTAGGAGATGCAGATGGAAAATGCGAATAGTTTACATTTGTAAATGTGCGGTTAATCCAGGACTGTGAGTCTCATTTGATGGTGGAGAAGTGCATGAAAAGCGTAGTTTGCAGGCAGCACAGTGGCTCATGCCTGTCATCCCAGCACTTTGAGAGGCAGAGTCAAGAGGATTGCTTGAGCCCAGGAATTCAAGACCTTGTTTCTTAAAAAAAACAAAAAACAAAAAACAAAAGCCAGGTGTGGTGGTGCACTCCTGTAATTCCAGCTACTCGGAAGGCTAAGGCAGGATTGCCTGAGCCCAGGAAGTTGAGGCTATGGTAAGCCACAATCCATGCCACTGCACTCCAGCCTGGGTGACAGAGCAAGAACCCCTACTAAAAAAGCAGGGTGGAGGTTGGGTAGTTTGCAAACTGCCTCCATACCCTTAAAGAAAAATCTCTTACAAGTGAGTTGTGTCTGCACTCAGCCTGGAGGCGAAAACAAAACCAAACCTGACCTCCTAATCAAGGATGTTCAGCTACTGAACCTTTCATTTGGGCAGAGAAAGGAGCCCACTCCCCAGGTTGAGTTACCCTTTAGAGTAGGGCAAGTGTGTTGCTGCTTCACTCCTTATGAGCTCTTTATTAGTTCTGCTAATTTTGTGATGAAAGATGGCATTGTCATTGATTTCTATGCCCCTGGCAAGCAATGGATGCTCTGTCCCTGTTGAGCAAAGGGAAATATGACCTCTCTCTCTCATGGAATATGACTCTCCTGTATTCTTTTACTTTAGAAAGTGGAAGATGAATGTTGGACAAGAAAAGAGAGAATTTTAAAAATGGTCATTACTGACAGCATTCACATACTGCTAAGCTATTCAAATAATAGATTTGGGGTAGATACTTAATGTTGCAGTCTAACCATTTCATTTTATGATTAGGACATTTGAACCTCAGAGGATTTAATAGATAGAAGTTGGAAATAAAGCCCAGATTGTCCGACTTTATTACTTTTTCACTATTCTGTGCTTCCTTCCTTTCTAGTCAAAGGTAATGGAAAATATATTTGCATCACTTGCCTGATCAAATGTTTATATTTTGACTGAGAGAGTACTCTAGAAAGGTAATTCATTTACAAATAAGTTGCCAAGGCAAGTAAAATAAATTACTTAAAATTACAGTTGAGCTAATCATTGTATTGGTTAAAAAAAATGACCACACATTGAGCTTAAAAATGTTTTTTAAATCTCTACTGCATCATTTATGTGTCCAATCTACATAGAGTAGAAGTATTATTACCATCTAAGAAGAAAACTTCAGTTTCCACATGCTTTTTTAAAATACATATTTTACAGCCGGGCTTGGTGGCTCAGCCTGTAATCCTGCGCCTTTGGGAGGCTGAGGTGAGTGGATTGCCTGAGACTGCGGGTTCGAGAC